ATAAATAAATTTTTGACTTTAGAAATGTTTTTAAAATCACTTCAGTTAATAGTGTGTTTAACGATAATTTTTAACGAACGTGGAGCTCTAATAGCATCGCAAAATGTAGAATATCCACCGTTATCAGAATCAATGTGGAATTACGTGGGAGAAACTTTAGAGTGGGAATCAAGAGAACCTAAAAATAGAGAAAATGTTTTAGTGGAATATGACTTCATCGTAGTCGGTGCTGGAAGTGCAGGAGCAGTAGTAGCTAGTAGATTATCCGAGGTAACTAACTTAAATGAGTTATTCATATGATACGATTTAATAATTAATAAAATTTATTCAAAAATAGATTAAAAAATGGAAGGTGTTATTAATCGAAGCTGGAAAAAAAGCATTACATTTTATGGATGTACCTATAACAGCTCAATTGTTGCAAGCTTCAGAATACAATTGGAAGTATAAGACTATACCTATGAATACATCTTGCTTAAGTGAGAAATCGTTAGTTTACATATTATACCTTTATTTATTTTTAATAAGTTTTATAAATTTGAATAGGTTTCGATGAACACCGCTGTAAATTTCCTAGAGGAAAAGTAATGGGTGGTAGCAGTGTATTGAATTATATGATTTATACACGTGGTAATAAAATGGATTACGATAATTGGGCAGAAATGGGCAACGAAGGTAATTAAATAAACGATAAATTTCATCTATGCGAGTTGTTAATTTCTATAAAATTATAAATGTTTTGACACGTAAGGATGGAGCAACGATGACGTGTTTAAGTACTTTCTTAAATCGGAAAACGCTAACCTATCTACCTCGGATGTGAACTATCATAGACATAATGGATTGTTGTCAGTGGCAGACGTACCATATAGGACACCTATAGCAAAAGCTTTTGTGGACTCTGGATCAGAAATAGGACTGCCCGTCATTGACGTAAACGGGAAAAACCAAATCGGGATAAATTATATACAGGTAAATTAATGAGATATAGATTTATATGATGTTAAATCCAGACAATTTTCCTGAAGAAGGATGAGGTCTGTTTTTTCATTAGTTACACGCGTTTTAGTGTATGAATGATATTACTATTATTAATTTCAGTTAACTCAGTACATGTTTTATTTAATACTTTAGATGGACATTATATTAATATATTATTTACTTTTATATAAATTAAAAAACATCTATTTTCATTTATTTTCATGCATGGAAATCGATTGCCACTTCCATATCTCTTGAGGTAGATTTTGTTTGGCTTTGAAATTTATTTTCATATAATATCTTAATACGTCTTCTTTTAAATTTGTTAAATAAAAGGTATGCATTACTGAAACATTGATGAAACAAATTATATTTTATTTAAAACGATTAGATAAGTTCTATCAGGTATTTCGATAAAATATGTTTGAATGGGAGATATATTTATTGATATAATAATAATAAAATGATAACCAAAGTTGTTTATTTAATAAATACATTTATTATTGACAGTTGTATTTATTAGGGGATCAATAAACTTAAAGGGAAAAGGATTCGCTCCTCGCCATACTGGAATTCAACACCGAATACCCACCAAAATAGTGGTATCTATAACTTTGTACATGTAAATTATTCACGAAGTATTCACATTGCCGTCGATTGATTTGATTAATTTATGTTTCGTTTCTATAAAAAAGTTTGAGTTGATTTTTAAAAAATGATAAATCGCTTTTTGTAATCTAAAATCTTTCCTTAGTTTATTTAAGTACATTTTTGATATTACGATCAGACTCCTCAACATATAAATAAATTTTGTGATTATATAAATGCTTGCTGTACTTTGTTAACTGTTCAGGATAAACTGTTCAGGAGTTTAGGATAACTTATTTAACAATTTTGTCTCTTGCACAGTACAAATTAAGTTTATAATAAATATATTTTATTAAACGTCATATTATATATTGTTTAATTTGTGCATATGTTATGTCCCTGGGACTATTATGTCCGGTATTTTTCATCTAATCAAGAACATTTTAGATATTTTGAATAAGTTTATAAATATCATAAACATTTTATTGATATTTTCTGGTAACAAAATTTTAAAAATCACATTGAAATCATTGCAAAACATTCTTTATATACATATATACTCATTATAAATTATATGCAACATGTTCTATTTTGACATAATTTTGAATAACCGATAAATAGTAATTACTAATTACTTATTAAAATCAAAACCGGTGTAAAGTCACTTTATTGAAATTAATGTGTTAAGTTTGAATTCAATAACAAACCATTGTAAATGAAAAAAAAATTTGGATTACGACGATCTGTTATCCTATGTTTTTAAGAATAATTAATTATATGTTTAAATTGTTATAAATGATACATTTATTCATTTTTGTTTTTTTAGGAATATAGACGGTAAAAGTTATAATCAGTTTTTTGCCAACTATAGAATTACTTTTAAGAGACCTTGAATTAAATTTTCAAGTTTTTTTATGTGAAACATCTATAGCCGCATGTAAAACCGATTTCTGGCGTGGCGACGCGTCGCCCGCAAATCGACTGTTCGATTCTCTCCCACTCGATCCGGCGTTAAGCCATCTCAATCCAATTATATCACAATAAAAAAACAGCATAATATTAATTATTATTATAATTAGTTAGTTTTTATTATAGTTATTATTTTATCATATCATTTATATCTCAATCCTAGAGAACCTACCACCAGATACGGAACAACAATAGATGCTGTATTTATTAGATATCTTGATAATATTATGTCCAATACTTTTATAACATACTTCAGCTACCATCGACCAATTGTCACAGTAATACCGTCGTCAGAGGCAACATCGAATGTCACTATTACCGAAGTCACTGATTAAACGAATTAAGTAGTCACGATTTGAAATAAATTCGTAAATTTTTGTATTTAATGAAAATAAATGTTTATTAAATAAACAGTCATCATTATCTGAAAAAAAATCGTAATATTTTATTTTATCATTATGACATATTTAGTTTCTATCGCAATCTATTCTTTTCTGCATGTTACTTTTACAAAATAATGATGATGTTTCACATCTGCCAGGCGTCCCGTGACAGCTCAGGTTTTTTTACCAAATATACGATATAATATCAACATAAACAAACATTTAAAAATTTAAAACGTTCTTTAATACATACTTTAAATTTTTTTTAATATTTTGAATTTTTCATTCTGTGTAGAAATTGATAATTTAAATAATGTATCAAGTTTCTACGTTAAATATTTTTTGAATAATAACAAAATATAATTTTTTTTTTTAAATTTTTAGTCAATATATGTTATGAAAAATCTTAATATAATTTTTTAAATCTTAGATATTAAAATCAATTTTTTTTATCAATTTGGTAAGTACAAAATTTTCATGTATTTTTGTGTTTTAGATGAATCTTGTAAAAAACGTATGACAATTTTTTAATCGAAGTATATCAGATGTGAGTTACCTTGTATTTAGAACTCTCCAAGGTTATTTTAACCAAGATCGTAAACCAATCAAAAAAATGTAAAAGTCTAAAATTTTAAGTCTTAACGGTTTTATTTTTTACAAATTTTGTCGAAAACCGGTCTTCCGATCTTGCGTAAGCTGACTGAACTTATATTATGTGAATGATTCATTTCCTGATTATTTTGAAAATTACTGTACATTTTCCGTTTTGACCAAAATAAAAAATTAAAACTATATTCAATGTAGTACAAGAAAACCTATCTCTAAATTCAAGATAACTAAACATTTATACTTTTTCAAAAGATGATGACAAGCAAATAAAAACACAAATTATGTAATTGAAATATTCCAGTTCAAATATATAACTAACAAAATAAAAATAAAAAATAATTATAACTATAAGTATATAATTCATCACAATGTCTATTACTTAGGTATAAAATATATTGTTAATTTTGATTTGTTTGTGCAGCTATTAATAGATCTAAAACCTTGAATTGTTGGATTGTGCATATTAAATATAAATATAAATAATATAATAATCAAACTGATCTTCCGTCCTAAATAATATTTATATTTTATGAATTTTTTTCAGGCTACCATGAAGAATGGTCGTCGTTATAGTACAAATACAGCTTTTTTATTTCCAGCAAGAACGAGATCGAACTTACATGTGAAAAAGGAGAGTACTGTAACACGAATAATTATAGAAAAAGGTACGAAAAAAGCAATAGGAGTGGAATTCGTAACAAACCGTAAAAAATATAGAGTGTTTGTACGCAAAGAAGTAATTGTTTCTGGTGGAGCTATAAACTCGCCACAATTACTCATGTTGTCGGGGATCGGACCGGAAGAACATTTGAAAGATATAAAAATTCCACTGATAAAAGACTTGCCGGTTGGTGAAAATTTGATGGATCACGTGGCACTAGGGGGTTTAAGCGTCTTGATAAACGATACTATTTCATTGAAAACCGACCGATTGCTGAAAAATCCGTTTAATACACAAGACTATATTTCAAATAATTACGGTCCATATACAATACCAGGTGCTGCGGAAGCCTTGGCGTTTTTCGATTTAGACCGACCGGGATCCTTAGATGGACATCCGAACTTAGAATTACTATTAATTTCTGGTCTATTTTCGGACAATGATTACACTCATAGACTGTTCGGTTTGAAGACCGAGATCTATAATCAAGTGTACAAGAAAACCGAAAACATGGACGGTTTTACGGTGTTTCCGATGATTATGCGACCGAAGAGTAAGGGCCGTCTGTGGCTAAAAGACGCAAACCCGTTCCACTATCCACTGATCGATCCCAATTACTTTGCGGACGAAAGAGACTTGGACGTGGCCGTAGCCGGAGTGCGGATTTTCCAACAGATGTTGAAAACTGACGCGATGAAGAAGCTCGACGCCCAATTATTCGACACCCCGTTGCCCGGTTGCGTCCAACACAAATTCGATTCGGACGCGTACTGGAAATGCTCGGCGAGACAAATAAGTTTTACAATCTATCACTTGTCGGGCACATGCAAAATGGGACCGGTGGGTGATCCCACAGCCGTGGTAGATCCGAGATTGCGCGTGCACGGCATAAGCGGTCTAAGAGTCATCGACGCATCGATAATGCCGGAAGTACCGGGAGCGCATATCAACGCACCAACGATTATGATCGGCGAAAAGGGCTCTGATATGATTAAAGAAGATTGGGGTATAAGAGTATAGACTGTAGTACTTGCAGATTAAACTATAATTAGTCAAATTTATTATATATATTTCATATTTATTTAAAAGAACTTAAGTGTTCAATATAATTATCCTTAACTAGTACACCTACTTACTTAGTAATTTTTTACGATTTCAAGTTAATTGTCTTTACCTAAGATACCATTTTTAATAACCGAAATGGCATGTAGGTATTATTATGGTTGATTTAACTGATATTCGCTAAAACGTTCCTGTCTATAATCACGTACATCGAAATACCTACAGCAAACAAGCAAACCAATATTTTATATTATATGGAATACAGCTTGAGTGCCTTGATCGGTAATAGTATATACTTGTAATGTATCAAGGCTCACAGCATTCAATAAACCCGTTTTAAATCGATTCGTATTCAATATAAACTATATTCAGATCAACAGAATAATTGATACTTGGAATTTAAAATAAAATCTTTTTTTAATTAGGCACATCTTTTGAGCTATGACTGACGAAAGTATTGTTTTCAAAAACGTAACGACAAATAATTTTTGTTTTTTTAAGTAATGTTTGTTTATGTCAATATTACGATGCTCATCTCTTCAAATGTATATTTGTACTATATCTATATCTAGAACTAGTCTATACTATAAAATCAATGACTAGAAGTAGCTTAAGTATCAATGTTTTGCAGAAATTAGTCATAAAGTAACTTATGGGTTACTTATCTACATAGCATTAAAGTTTTAAATTGCTTAGTTACAAAATTCAATCAAAATATTATAAATATCAATTTCGAAAAATTTGTATTTGTGGTGAACTTCAAAGCTTTTGTGACACAGGTTATTTTTTTTTACTTCCTGTATACCTACAGTTAAAATGTTATGCAGATAATTGTTATGAGTAGTTAAACTGATTTAAAGTGTGTAGCTGAACATATTTTAAAACTAAACATTAATTATTATCAATATAAACTACAAATTAATTTACTGGATCTCTTCCTTATTTAAAATAAATTAAAGTTTTTTTTTCTTAATTGAAACTAAAAAGACATTATAAACACAATTAATATTATATAACTGACAAACTATGACCATGAGATTGAGAATAATTTTTCAATCAATAAAAAAAATATAATAATTTATGTTTATTTATAATATATATTGTGTATACAAATACTTGACTAATATATTATAATTAACAATGTATTTTTATACTTAGTTATTTTCCAGTAGGTCTTGTTTATATTTATAGCTTTTGGCTGTTGCCTCTAAATTATTGAAAGTTACCTGTTACACACTATAAGTTAAGTACTTTTATATATTCAAATAATAAATAATACAACTTTATTAGTTCTGATCAGTACTTAACTGTACACATTACTCATAAGTCATAAGTTTTAACCAATATTTACTACAGCTGTAGAAATTATGTTAAAAATGTAAAATATGAGTTTTATTGAATAAATGAATGCATAATGGAATTGAATTTTTTTTTTTTTGTAAAGTTGTTTTAGATATAGAAAGCATAGTATTTTTGTCTAATTTTTATGTTAAATCTATATCATATTTTTGGTCACGAGTATTTCTAGGTACATATTGCATCTACAAATATATGAGGTTTTTTAAATATTTGTACACATTAAACATTCCAGCCTCTATACATCTGAAATATGACATAATAAAGGTTGCAAATGATGCAAATAGAAGGAACATTAGGTAACCCCAAAATTGTTACAAGCTCTCTAATATAAACACTAATGTTTTAAAAAAGTATCAAAATTTAAGTGGTTTCTGTTAATGAGGAGAGTAAATTAAATGTTTATTATATTATTTGTATTAATGTCATTATTGTAGTTTCTAATTCTATAATGTCCATTGTCTATTAAACGTTATAATAATACAATTTATTTGTATATTTTTATTACATTACATCGCTATGGTTTCCTCAATCGCTACAGTTTTTTTTTGAGCTCCTTCACAAAGATCGTGCAATTTTCATTTTTTAAAATTGAATTAATTTTTATCATATAATTATGTAAGTGTAAAACCCTGATTCTCCCCCTTTCTAAATATTATTTTGTTGTATATGTTTTTTAATAAATTACATGTAACATGTTTTCAAATAGATTAAATACTAACTTTTAAGATAAAAATTTTTTTCAACAATATAGTTTTGATTATAAAAAATCTCAACTTATAATATATCTACATGTTATTTACTTTTTTATAAGTTAGATAGATTTTTAACATTTTTGAATTTATAATCTCTTTTTATTTATTAATTCAATTATAATATCAATATAAACAATTGCATGACACGCAAAATATGTTTAACTTATTTATTTTATTATAAATTATTTATTATCATAATATCATGTACCCAAACTAATTATTGGTTACTTCCAATGTTTGAAATTCAAATATCTTGGAAAAAGTTTTAATTAATAATATTTGAATTGTTATTATTTATATTTTTAAGAAAATATAAAAAAGCTCTTATCGATGCTTTAAGTTTGTTATGAAATTTTTTAAATTGTATTTTGAGCAAACTAAAAGTATTTTATAGGATTTATATACAGTAAAAAAAAAAAAAAAAAAAAAAACACGATTTTAGATAATATTAATTACTTATGTAGTAAGATTTTATAATTTTTAATGAAAAACTTAAAACATGTAGGTACTATAAAGCCCATTTTACTTTTATAGAATGATTTTATATGAATGATTAAATTTAAATGCATGAACAGCATTGTTAGTACAAAAAATGTGTTTGCTTGATTTCAATACAAATAACTACAGAATATTTAAATAAAACATATTTCTAATATAAATGAATATTTCACAAATAATCACAGCAGGACATTTTATTTTAAAATAAAAATTGTTTACACAATTGTATTTATAAATTTTAGTTATGTAAAACTGAAATAAAAATTTAGTACTCAAATATAATGTAGAAGATATACAGAACGTGAAGAAAATACTACAACATAAAATATTCATTGCAGAATCTACAAGATATTAATTTTTATAAATCTGTGCATAATATAATTAATACAATATTTATTACAATAATAAACTTAATAGTAATCTATGTTAACTTACTTTTTAAGGTCGGGACAAAGTTTGAGGTTTTAAACCTAATCGGTTAATAACTGCTTTTGGCATGCAATAAGTAGGGTCAATTGGTAAAATTTTATCATATGACATTAGAGATAATGCTGCAAGACCAAAAAGAGTATGAAAAGGATCTGGTTCATCCCCAGGACGATCACTGAATCCACCTCCTTCATTATCCTGTTAATAGATCATAAATTATATATTATTATAGATATTACCATACTATTTTATTCATGGATTATTTAGATTTAAAGATCCAAAGCTTTACTTGGGATGCTAAAATAAAGGTTTTTAATTCTTCTTTATCAATCCAATGGTCACGTCCTAAAATGTTTAATGTTGAAAACACCCACCATGAATAACAAACGTCTGGTAACTTTTCAGGTCGTCCATTAAGTCCACCAGATGGTAATTGCCTTTCAGCTAACCACCAGCCTAAAGTGTCAGCATCGACTAAATCTAATCGTCCTATAAATTTCAATAATTATAATTTATATATATAGATAACCAGAAGGTTCATAGAGTTTTGAATATTTTTAAACTATACAAATAAATCGAATTAAAAATTAATTAGTGTAAATCTAATCTTACAATAGTAATTTGCAGTTAGGATGATCAGTTTTATACCGCCAACCAATTAATTCTAATAATATTCCACAAAGTGTAAATAATGTACATTTTACCACAACAATATAAATGTATGATTTATGTGGATCATTTATTGGGTTTATGCATGAGTGTTATTTATAAATTGTGTAATATAATATAATAATATGAATATATTGCTGTGAATTGTTTGTATTAAAACATCAATTAGAACTCAGAAACGTGAATGAGTTTTTTTAAAAGAATAAGATTAATTATCAAATATGTGATATGTATTAAATTAAAAAATTAAAAAATGTGTGGTGAAAAGTTATTATAAATAGTAAAAATTGAGATTAGAAGAGAAACGATAATATTGGATATAGTAATGTATTTCATTTTTCATGTTATTATTAATATTATAGATGTTAAACTATGATAGTAAACAAATATAAAAAAGCGGGCAAGTGGGTACCGCTCTGTTGTTCATTAGGGGGTAGGGTGAACCTCGGACTAGGATAGATTAAATTTGAATGCAATGATAGGTATCATTGTATACGAAAAACAATTCTGAACGGAGATGATTTGTCAGTCTAGGATATATTATATTTAAATATTGTCATATATTCTATTTCATAACATTGTTATTAAAAATTTATTATTAATACTGTAAAAATAAAATAATTTTATTAAATTATTGCAAATTTAATATTTATTTCTTAGGTACAAATAATTTATGACATAATTTTTCTATATTTTAAAAAAAGTGCCCTCCTCTTCTAAAAAGGTTTAATTTTAGATTGTTACCATCCTTGTGTGGTCAATTGTGTGTCCAATATTTTTATTTTATGTATAAATATTCCTATTGACTGTTTACAAGAAATTAAGTTAAATACTTAAAAGCAGTTGAAATATTTGATAAAATGCTTAATTATTAAATAATTTAATTAATCAATTATCGATAATAATTTTAGTCAGATAATTTCTCATTTAATGTAATACCTACTAAACATTTAAGTGAATAGTTTTTTTAAATTTATATTTTAAACCATAAAGAAACTAGTCACTTTTATTATTTTAACAAACTAACTACTAATTAAAATTTTTTTGGAAATTTCATATTTGACTAGTCGAAGAAAATTAATTTGCACAGCTTTATTTTAAACATCCAATATACAGTAGAATATTATATATAAAGGTAATCTAACATTTTTATAATAAGCTAAAAAGTAAATGGGTTAAATTGTTAAATGTTCATAACTATAATCTTTTATTATTTTTATTTTTTATTTATTCATAACAGCACATTAAAAACCATTTAAATTTTATAAAATGCATACATAAAACATACTTTAAAATATTATTTTCTCATAGTTACCAGCAATAGATAATGATCCAACACAACAATAGATTAACCCACCATGACTTTCAGCTCCAGGTCGTGATCCAAAACCTCCATCAAAATTTTGGCAGCTTTTTATAAACTCTACTGCTTTAACCAAATTAATCTCATTTAGCTTACCCTAAAAAACATTAATTCATTAAACTCAACAAAATAGTAAGAAATATTAAATAGCATTTAATGTTTCATTACCAAAAGCGATAAACATGCCAATGCACAAAAAGAATAACGGGTATCTATTTCTCCCCATTTATCTCCACTAAAACTGCCATCATCTTGTTGAAGTGTAGATACATACAATACAATTTTTTCAACTGGTAATTCCATTTCTCGATTAAGCAGACAAGCAATCTGTAAAAAAAAATTAATATGCATATAAATATGATACCTAAGTATTATTTGTAATAAATAATGCTAACTTGAACTGCGCTTAGTGTATACAATAAATGTGGATCATGACCAGGGGCAGGTGAATACCCACCACAATTGTGTTCACAACTTTTAATATATTCAAATATTTCGTCTTCTTTTGGTATTTTTCCATCATTGATTAAATATAATGCAGTTAAGCCCCAGTACATACCAGACATTCGAAGAAATTCCATCATACTACTTTCCTATAAAATTAAAATATATTTTTCTTTAATATTTTATTCAATATAAAAATTAATTGTTTGAGCTAAAATATTAAGTTTAAATATTTACATATTGATGTCTTTCTTTGCCAAACGATTGTAAGAAATTGATATGTTTTTTTAATACCCATGTCTTGCTTGTGTTATCCAATTTCACATCTTTTTGTAACTAGAATTAAAGAAATAATAAAAAAAAAGTACAAATCAAAATAATTATAAATTATTTAAAAAGATATATTATGTTAATATAAAAATATTAATTATAACAAAACTATTAAAAAAAAAACATTATAATTAAATTGATTATAAACAGAATATATAAATTTTACTATTTAATATTTCTTCTTAGTCTATATTGACAGCTTAGCATTTATCTAAATATGAATTTACATGATTATAATTACCAACAATTTAATATGATTGATAAGTTATAGGTACATAATATGAATGAATAAAACAAAGTTGTACACAAATTACCTACAATTATATTCACGTAAAAATTCAGTCTGATTGACAGTAATACTTACCATTTTTTCTATAGTTTTTAGATTTAGATATTTAGTAATTTGTAAAAAAATGTTAAGTAAACCAATAATGTAATTGATTAATAATTAATATTACAATATAAATTATTAAAAATATGTTGTATTTAAATTCAGTTTAATAGTTTCAAAATCATTATATCATTTGACATAAAAATATCTTTTATTTATTTAACAGTATTAACAATGATTTTAAAAATATGAATACCATTAATCCTAGTACCTACGTCCTATAAATTTTATAAAAATATAATTGATAATTTTTGAAAACTTATCAGTTATCACTTCTTACTTATCAGTAAATATTGCCATCATCATGGAATACATAATTTTATTGTTAATGATAATATTAATATCAATGTTTTTTAATAATATAATAATAATTATTATTATCTATTTTTATATGTCCATCTCACAGCTAATAGCTGTGAGATGGGTCAGCTATAGATAATCTATAGCCGTGGTCCATCCAGACTAGTATCTCATAGAGTAAAAATACCATAAAGGGGGCATTATCTATCCTTCTGTGTATCAGTTTTCGCAGCGCAGAGACCATAGAGTACTTTATGGCAGAGACACACTACAGTAATGCTATTTTCACAATAAAAAAAATGTTCACCCAATAAATCCAGATTTAAATTACTTATTTACAAGATGCTGGTCAGTGGTCAGTATAAACAATTTTTTTATAAATAATTATATTATAGTTATGTTAAACATTAAACAATGTTAAATTATTAATATAGTAATACATATAATAATATATGAAATAATATAACGTACCTTTGGAAGTTTAAAAAATAATTTAATAATATATTTTTGTTATTTCGTTTACTCATTAAAACAAATTCAATAAAACTATTCGACGTGTTTATCAATTATCACTGTCTGACGGATGACAGTATATAATTATAGTAATATTTTTAATTTACACAAATATAATATTGTGGTTATTAATCGTTGTCGACTATCGAAATGTTGACCAAACAGTTTACATGGAATGCAGAGTAGTGTAAAAAATATACAATTATCATCGGTCATCGGATTGGGTTATCTCCGAAAACAAATAAACTAATAAAGACTTAACTAATTTAAGTAACTATTATCATTATTAAAGCAGCATTTACACAACCAAATATGTAGCCCTTTTCAAAGGAGTACAAACAACTGTCAAGATAGATAATACCAGAATCGACATCTGTCCTACTCACTCGTATTGTTTAATTTGAAAAATAATATACAAACAAATCCCTTGATCATAAAAATATAAAATATAATTCACCAATCCAACAAATACATACGCTTTATATGGACTCCAGGTCATTGAAATATAAAAGGAAACGAGTAAGCAAACATAGCAGCTCGAAATGAAATAAATAATCCTAACAGCAAATCACTCTCTTTTATTTCACCAGAAGACATATACAGAAACATAGATAAATACTGTAGGCTATTATGGAATTTTAAATGGAATCAAGTAAAAGAAAACAAATTAAGGGAAATAGAACACTCAAATAAACTCTGACCAATACTAAATTACTCAAGTCGAAAAGAAGAGGTTATAACTCATATTAAACAGACTCAGAATTGGACACACTAGAGCGTCTAAAGCCACTCATAAATACCCTATGGTTAAAACGGGACCTCCGATATGCCTTTCTTGTAACATCACAGTAAAGCACATACTTATCCATTGCTCAATATTCATAGCGATAAGAGGAGAATGTCAAATTCCCAATAACCTGTACGCAACATTAGAACCTAGTTCCTACAACTACCGAGCCTTAGTAATAACCTTGTAGTTGATTCTGAAACAATAATAAAAATATATTAAATTTTTAATATATTTTTATTATAATGTGTAATATTATTTTTTTTTATGGAAGTCTAGAAATATATTATAATTTATACATGCTTTTTAAACATAATATATTCATAGTTTTTTTTTTTTTCACAAATTTAAGAGCGCCCTTAAACCAAAAGCGCCTGGAGCAAGGATACCCACTTGTCCCCTCCACTTAGATCCAGCATTCATAATATTCACTATTTATCTTTAACAAACTTATTTTTCTTGTTTTCGTTAATTGGTTCAAAACGTCTTCCGGCTGTAATATTATTTCCCTATAAATATTCAAAATTGCCAAATATTAAATAATTTCCAAAATTAGTCATGCCATAAAAATTTTGAGGACCTTTGAGCTAGAGTATATTATAATCATTTTCATTCTCGCTCATTATATTATGACAATCCTTTTGAAAGAAATCTCGTTAATCCTACAATCCCCAGTACTTTCTGTAGACGATTAAGACAGAAATTGTGTAGTGATCTATTGACATATAGTATTAATCAAACTAATTATTTGAAAAAATCAAGTGAAAGTGTTATTAATGGGTGGCTGTTTTCCTCAAAAATGTCTGCACGTACTTTTATTAGGGGTATTAATGTATTTTCTAGTAATTTATATATAATTCTAGTTACTTGAATTACATTTAATTATTGTGTCAAAGAGGTATAAACTTAGATTTTATATAAAAAAAAAATAAAAATTTTCATGTAAATAAATATTTTAAATATAAAACTAAGTTTTCAAAACTGATTGGCCCTTTGATAAACTTTTGATACTCATGTATAAGGCTCAGAAGTTGTAGGAATTGCATATTATTCTGTATACTTTCAATTTATAGTAGACCAAGTTAGAAATGTGAACTGTATAATAGAGAGTTTAAAAAATGAAAATTTAAAATGCAAAATACTTACATATTTTGTCAATTTTAGCTAAAAAAATTGCATAATTCACATTTTTCTAAAAAAAAAATGATTTTTTTCTTTCTTAACCTGTATATTTAAATTAATATTGAATACAAAATTCAAAATTTTCTATACAAAAGTATTCATTGTAATTTCAAAAATACTGAAAAATATTTTTAATTATATTAAAAACCAGTTATAAACAGTTTTATGTATATTATTTTATTAATTTATTAACAACATCTAATATACCTATTTATTTATTTTTTGGAATTCAGTATTATTTTTTTTTTTTGCATATTTAACATCATTTTTAATGTATATTTTATAATTTTTTTGTATATATTTTGCCTTTTTTAGCTCTTTCAACTTATAAACCCTACTCATGTGGTACTTAATATTAGTTTGAGACGAATCGAGAATGTCGAGAATGAGCGAATATCGGATTATATCGTTACGCGCACATAATACAAGTTCTCCGGTTTTCATCGGCTATGACGCAGTAAACAATATGCTGACGTTAAGAAATGATAGTACTTACTAGTAATGGTAGTACATGCTCTGCGCTATGGGCATGAACCAATTGCGCCTAAAACAAAGTTTTTGTTTAGGGTCAATATACCAATTGCGCTCCTTATATTTTAAGGTCATATACCGATTGTGCTCCTTATATTTT